TAAATTTTTTAAATTTCAATTCCGAATTCGAACGGATTGATTTTTTGACTCGGAAGAGAGATATCCCGTTTTTTGCAGAAATTGTTTTTGCAGGATTCTGTTTAGTTACTCTTACATGTTTTAGCCTGGATTGCACCATCATACTTTAACTTTAACTTTAACAAACGTCAAAAACCTGTCAAACTTTTTACAAAAAACACCGGTTATCGTTAAAGTCACTGTTAAGGTTAGGGTGCAACTCAGCCTTGATGTTAACATAATATCCTGCATTACTGAATCGCGCAAAACTGGATTAATATGTGAAAGGGCCTAGTAAGTATAAAACAGTATTTTTAAAGGTTCAAACTAGCTGGCAAGTCTGTAGTTTGAGAACCACTATAGAAATACAAGAAGCAAATTATTTATGGCACAAAGCACCTTATGGCCCGACATGCGTAATGCCGGAACTGGGAGTAATTAACATGAGAGGATTTCGGACTATCGTAATAGTTTAAAGCAGATTATAATATGCACAGTCGATAGCAAGTAGAGCTAAACAAATTTGCTGCAAAATAAGACCTATCAGAACAGCATAAGATGCTTCAGTGTTTACGTTGAACTGCCGTCATTCTTAATTGGTACCTAATTGGTTACGTTTAGCAATTTATCATTTGTGCTTAATAAATACTTAAGACGATCTCTTCAATTATAATAGTGTCATAATTTACTATTCATTTGCCCATAAATTACTAACATCTAACTGTAAATAAATCACTTTCAGGAACCTAATAATGCACTAAGTATGTTTTTTATTGGCGAATACACACACAATCTTGAGTGCGACGTCACATTGATTTTATATTAATTTCGTTCGTTCGTTTCAGCCAAAACTACAATCTACTGGACAAAGGCATTAATAACAATGTTTTAGTAACTCACTACCATGACTGTTATAAAAGAAATTTTGTTTTGGGTAAATACCATAAATATGATATTTGGGTATATACCACTGGGTGCCCACGACACAGGTTATTCCTAGTGTGGGACCCGCAGACAAAGCAATATAATGTTTACCGATTTAATTGTTACCAATTGTATTGTAATTGTAAGGTGTATGCGTAAACGGTGTGTTTGCATAAATAAAATATTTGTATTTGTATTTGTATGAGAAAAAAAGCTGTCATTAAAACTTGTGACAGTCTAACAAAAATTTATGTTACATATTTCCCAATGAAAACTTTCCAAACTAACACTGACATTTTGATGTCCACTTACCATAAAACGTTTTGGTGTCCCAGCCCTCATGATTTAATGCGTTTACCCCGACAAGGGTAATTAATTCAGATGACATCCACCGTTTTGGCCTCTCAAGACACTCAGCCACTCCTTCAACTCCCGTCGGAGGCATCTAATTTAAAAGTCAAGGGAGGCATAAAGACTTAGGTACAGACGACTGCATGTCAAGTTTAACACTGTAGCTTCTTATTCAGTTGTAACAGAGGCTATTTTACAATAAAAGTTTATAGCTTGAGATTCTGTCAGTAGGTCTCGGAAATGATAATTACCGAATTAGTAAAAGTCAAACTCTGGAAGTGCATTTCCGACGGTGCTTTAATTAATTTCAGTTGAGTAGTGCTGTTTGAATAAATTGGCTTTTAAGATTCGGTATAGACTCCTCCTGATACTTGTGTTGTCATAATTTCAGAATATATCGCAAATAAAAGAGTGTAACGATCTTGTGTCGAGGTGTGGTTTTGGAATAACTGTCTGTAATACTCATATTATGTGTATTAACCCTTATGAAGAAACCTAATAATTTAGAAACTAAAGTGTGACTTTTTCCCATTCACTTAGTCCTTGTATGATTACGTATAAAGTAAATAAAATTATTATTATAATCGTACAAACTAAGATCCTAACCTTTAATTACAAGCATAATAAAATCTAAAATCTTTGTAGTAATAATAAACCTATGCTGTAGTTCTATGACAGCGAGGTGTGTCTGAAAAACCAACGTTATATTGACGTGCGAAAACCATAAGCACGTAACTAAACTCTCGCCACCCAACGAAGCCGCAACTTTTTAGTCAACAACAATCTAACCGCAATAGCACCAACCTGTCTATTTACAACCCACCAATGTCATTGTTTCACTAAACAAACGCCAGTAAAATCTTACAGGCCGTCTTTGTCTGAACTCTGCCTCGTAAAACTTCTAATGCCTCAATCTTGGAATCCTAGACTTTGGTGGGGTGGATACGTTACGATTACGATCCGATTGTAGAGCTGTCACGTTGTGTTAAGGATTCTTATTCGATTGCTCCTGGACAGTTATGGCACGAATGGTCGCTTGTTATTGCCGTGGAAACGTCTCACGAAAAACTTTTTCCTCTGTTCCAGGATACTATGAATATTAAGACATCTATTTTTATTGGTTACCCAAAAATTGAGAATTTCCTTTCTACTTTTGAATACATAATGATAAGAAATCCAAGATAAAGACTTTAAAATTTCATAAAGGCAGCGTTTTATTTATTTTTTTTAAATACGATTAATAATTTAATGTTGTATTTTTGTTTATGACTCATATTTTAATAACTGCAATCAAAATCAACATTAATTACCTAGCACCATGGTTTAATTCTACTCTGTAGCAGCAAATCTTCAACAAGGACCCTTTACACGCTACGTTCTTAGAAACAAGCTAAACTTATCAATCGTAGGCTCTGCATAGCAACATTGTCGTCGGCTAACTCGGTAAGTAAATGTTAAAGTAGTAATGATGATTTAGTGTCCATTATGAACGGTTCGCGGTACGGACGCTCGCAATATTGTTGAGGATTTTGATTCCAGCTACAATGACTTCATGGCGATAGCTTGAAATGTTGTGCCACATTGTTGACTTGGCTTGGAACCGCTGGACAATTTAATACGTGCGGTTGCAGATATTTCTTCTCTCATAGTCGTGTTCTTATTGTATGATGATTATAGGATTATTATACGACAATATTTGTTAGTTGTGTGTTTATTTGGTAAACACCCTTGGTATTTATTTTATTGCAATGTACATAAATGTGTATATAAATTGTTGTTACTTCGTTCGTTCGTTTCAGCCGAAAGACGTCCACTGCTGGACAAAGGCCTCCCCCAAGGATTTCCACAAAGACCGATCCTACGCGGCTCTTACATACTATTCCATAATAAAAACTAAGACAATATATTTTGATTTAAATACTTAGATAAATAGTTTAATGTAGCTTACCTAAACATTAGTCATCTTATTTCGTTGCAAAGGTAATATTTTAGACAATATCCTAAATTAATTTTCTATAAAAAATAGTTCTTTAAATTAAAATACAAGATGAACATAAAAATATTCAACATTTTTTACGCTGTTGCTGCCATCTGGCGTCAACTCACGTAAGCTTTGATGCGAGCGAAAGCTCCCAGAGGGCGCCGTAAGTTTCAAGTGAGAGAACTTTAAAACTTTTATTGATATCCATTGCCGAAGCTTTTATAAGCTTATTTTAGCTTTTTATGATTAAAAACTTGATAAACTACTAATTTACAATTGAAATTAAGTTTAGAATTACTTTAATTAGCTATTGTTTCACTATTAAGTATCTATTTCCATGTTTAAAATGCAATGTTCCTCAAAACAGCGACAAAGCCCAAATAAAATGTGACTTAATAGGTAACAAACTTTAAAGAATATTATAATACCTACATTGTATTAGCTGTATTAAAAGCGAACAGATATTTTTTACCAACTTACATTTTAATACAACACAAGACAGCAAAATGGGTTGCCTGTAAAACAAGTTTTTTTTCCCCTTTTAAAATTAAATATATTTTTTTCACGTCTTAAATTCGCCTCCACAAGCAGTACGTATCATAAAAGGTTTGGTACACTTTTTGCATGTGTCTCTGCTTCACATTTTTTGTTAACCCTTCGAATACCGCGGGTCTTCCAGACCAGTCCCATCACATCAATATTTATTAACCCAATCACATTAGCAACTGTGTTTTGCTACTGCATCGAACACGATCCGAGAATGCACTCTCGCGCTAATTGAAATTATAATTGCATGAAAAACTACACCAGATCATTAACTTGATGTTTTCATTTGGAATGATGTACGATATTTGATACGTCGTCTAGCGTAAATTACTTTATTGACTTTATGATTTGTCTCTTAAGACAAAATGAGGTATTTTTAGTGTCGTCTTGGAAATTGTTAACAAAATAACAAAACACAACAGCTATTAATGTGTGAAAAACAAAGGAAAATCTTCATTCTTGTCTGCAGCAACTAACGGATTGCAAAAAATAATAAAAGTGTAATGGCGGATTTACATTTATAATTTATAACCATTAAAACGATAGCTCGTTCGCACGCGTCGAGGCGATGGGCGCGACTGGCCAATAAGGTCGAGTTTCGCGGACCACAAAGCGCGGCGGCCGTTGAAAAGAGCGCGCCGGGTGAGCGCGCGAACCCGCGAAACTCAAGCCCGCCAAATGCGAATCCGAGCGTCAGAGCACAGATTATACAATACTAGTGTTTGGAGGGCCGTTACATACTCCCCCTCTAGTTCGAACACAGCGTCCTCGCGTTCGGACTAGGACTATACCTGCGTGGGCATCCGCGCCNTATCACTACAGAAGGCAGTAATTCTGAACACCTGCAGAATCGTAAGAAAATTTTTACAAACCCATGACAGCCATAACCAACCAACAAGGGCAGACACCGACTCTACAACCACAAACTAGTGATACAATTTTATAAGGATTGCACTTGGCTTAGGCCCGTGCATTCCCTCGAAACCGGCGAAAAGCTGAGGCACAAAAGTGTACACCGACAATAATAATAATAATAAAAACGTTTATTGCTTTTTAAACATAAAAGGAATCTATCTCGTTAAAGACTTAAAATCTGCCTCGAAAGACCATATTTTGGCTCAGTTGAAGATTTAAAATAATAGACATTGTATGAAATGAAAGAAGTATAGTTGAATTTTTAGTACCAAATAAACGATTTCTCTCCAACAACCAGGTTCCTATTGTCAGCCATGAAGCCTGAGCTCCTGGTGAAAGAGGACAACAACGAGCTGAAGTGTGAACTCCAGAGGAAGGAGGAACTCCTGAGGAGGCACTACGACAAGATCAGCCAGTGGCAGAACTTGCTAGCTGATTTGCAGGTGAGCTCTCTTTGTGAGGTAGTAGACAGGCTAGTTATTCCCAACACGGAAGAACGATGGACCATCTTAATAACATTTTTTATGAAGAATCCACAGAAGGTAGGTACTAGCGTCATGTTTTAGATTATGAACGTGCGCACATTACGCCCATTTAGTATCGGTTGATTCTTCATACGAAATTAATAGAATCGGGTTCAACTGGCTTAAAAAAGTTTTTGTACAGTCAGCGTCAAACAGTTCGAGACAAGCTAAGTGGCCAATAAGTTCTCAACACTTCTTTGTTACAATTGGAATAAGGATGTGTTTTAGCCACTTTGGGTGTCACGCACGAACTATTTGACGCTGACCGTAGGTACACAGATTTTGTACTAGATAAACAATTTTTCTTTCTTTTTCCTTCTTTCAAAAGATGTTTTTGGTGGTAAGATGTATTTCTAAACCAACTGTCTATTGCAGGGCCACACAGTGTACAACAAGTGCCAACAGCAGCCGGCGCAACAGAGCGTACAGCAGGCCGCCTCCCCCGCCCCCCGCCAGCCGCCTAGTGTCCAAGCTGTGCAGGTGAGTCATAGGTTTGATGCTCAGCCGGGTCACAGAGTCACAGGCGCGCATACTGCAATACTTAGGACATGTCTCAAGGAACTCGATCGAGTGGCAGGTCACCAATGCGCTGGACCGACCAAGTGAAATCCGCAGTGGGAGACGGTGTATGTGACTGCACCAGACAGTCTGCCAATAGAGAGAGATGGAGGGAGATCGTGCGGAGAGTTGTATCCGCTCTACAACCGATGTGAACAACGCCTCAACATGACCACGACCGCTCTGCCAAGTAGGGTAACGTACACAGCAAGTGCTAACAGCAGCCGACATAGCAACAGCAGCTGGCCAGTCGCCTAGCGTGCAAGCTGTGCAGGTGGGTCTCAGGTTCAACAGTCAGCAGGGTCACAGTGCACAGTAAGTGCTAACAGCAGCCGACATAGCAACAGCAGCTGGCCAGTCGCCTAGCGTGCAAGCTGTGCAGGTGAGTCACAGGTTCAACATTCAGTAGGGTCACAGTGCACAGCTGCAGGTGCCATAGCAAATGACGCAGCCGCTCAACGTTAAAGCTGTGCATAGGTTCGATACTCGGCAGGATCACAGTCAAAAGCCCTTCCTGACTTATAACAAAGGCGCAGTTAAAGAAGCTTTGTACCTGACGTATAAAAGACTACGGCACGGCTGATCAGGCTCCCTAGACCGTAACCCGTCTGGCCAGTGTGGGGAGTGTAGGTATGTATAAATAATCCTTTATTTGCCTCTGGAAAATAAGCTTTGTTCCTGCAGTAGCAACTACTCGACCTGCTGATAAAATTCATACGTTATTGTCGAAAAACTCACTTTTTTTTAAATAATATTAGCAAATTACTATAACAATCCCGTTAATTCTTCGTAGTACTAAATACCAGTATGCTTGTGTTACGAGTGGGTTCACCACTTTAGTCGAGCAGGGGCGGGGATCGAAACCGCGTTCCTCAGATCACGAGTCGGCCAATCTGACACCTTCACCGTTCTATCGTCGCAATCTTTCTATCAAAAGAAAAAAAATCATTAAGCCATTTCATTTGCCATTTGACTTTGTACCCTATCGCACTAGCAATAAACTCTAAAACAGCTTACCGGGCCATTCAACGTTGTACCCAATTTCACTGGCATTAAAGTCACAACTTCTCCTTAGGCGCAGCAAATGGCAGCGGCGGCAGCGGCGCAGCAAGCAGCATTGCAGCAACAGGCGGCCTTACAGCAGCAACAGGTACCGCGCCCGCCGCACCCCCCAGCGTACCCCGCCGCCGGCCCGCGTCGGTAGGGACGTGCAGGGCCGTAGTTAGGGGGCGTTGGGGGGCAATTTGGTAGACTGATGCAGGGCCGTAGTTAGGGGGTGTTGGGGGGCAACAGACGTGTTGACACCACCAATCAATTGACGTACTTTTTAAAACTGTCAAAACGAAACTCTCCCATAGATTTTGTATGGCACTACAAGCAAGTGACGTCACTATTTTGTCAACTCTAATAAACTACTTTTTTCATTTACAATGCGACCTAATTTAAAATTAATGAAGTGTCTCTTTAGAAAAGTTGTGATTTCGAATTATTGGGGAATGGTGTCAAATTGTCTATTTGGTAGTCGTGACGTATGCAGGGCCGTAGTTAAGGGGCGTTGGGGGACATTAAGGGGAAATAACTGAATCTGATTGGTTATTCAAAACACGTCTTTGGTGAAAACCAGACCTGAGACAAGACACGCGCGGGATTTTCCATGTTAATACAAACTTAGCAATGATGATTGAACTTTAAAACCAATACAATTTAAGGCAGATTTTTCAATCGTCGGATATTTTTTCTATAAAAAAATAAAATTGTCATTTCGACATAGTCACAGATTAAATCTGTGGACATTGTATTTCCCACGCAGAAACTGTTAATAGGCCAATTTTTTTTTTAGATAAATGTTATTCGATGGTTGAAAAATCAGGTCTTAAAATCTCATCCACAAATACAAAAACTTGTGGGGAATTTAATAACTAAAATCTCGTATGTACTATGTACCTGCAAATACAATCATTAAAATGTTGATGTTGAATATTTAAAAACGAAAAAGTATTCACATAGATGTATGTATTTCTCTATAAGTACCACTTTATACCTAACATTAAATAAATCTATTTTTTAAGAAATTTACCAGTTGAATGTTATTAAAAAAAGTATTTTATTTAATAGTTTAAAAATGTTAAAGTATAGAAAATCTGCCAAAAGCTTTCATGTTGAGATATAAAATACTAATTTTGATAAACTTTTGAATATTAAAAATTGTCCAGAAGGTATAGTTTAACATTTTTGTTAAATAATAAGCTTATTTAGACACTTGCGTAAAAAATATCTATTTTGTACCCAACTATTTCAACTAATGGAAAACTACGTGATTTTTCAAATGTTAGAAGATAAAGTTTTTATTTAGTTTGACATTTTAACTGATTGTTAACAAAAACATGTCAAACTAAATTAGAAAACAATTTAAAATCGCCCTTAAGTAGAATATACCTAATTTTAAGCTATTATTTTGTAAGATTGCATCTATAATTTAAGTTATTTTGTTCTGTTCCTCTTGTTCCTAGCAAATATAATTTCTTTAAACCCACATTTTTGTTTTATTTATTTACCTATTTATTACCCTAGATGCTTTCATTTTGTATTGCACCAAGGTATGTATGATTTATTTATTCCCATTTATTTTTAAGTTCAACTTAGGTAATTTATTTTTAATTGCTTATTCTAAAGTAGTTATTTTCGTAGTTACAACGAATGCTCGCTTGCTTATTTATTGTATGTAATCAGATATTGACGAAATTACCCGCGTCTTAGGAAACTGGCAATTTTTCTATCAAATGAATTGGAAATAATTTAGCGAATTGGGCTAAATCAATATTTTATTGTTGCCGCCCACCACCCCAGAATGGTCTGATGCACACCCCAGAAACGTCAGATTGTAGGTACTATGCTCTGTGACGTAATAATATGTCAATGTTACCCCTCCCGTGCCGTTCCCATACCTCAGGCACTAACTCAGTTATGCGCTACCTATAACGTACAAAATTGCCAGTATCTTTTGCGCGGACTACAAACTGTTACCTTAGAGCTATGGTATCGTTTCGCCTTCCTTAGATGCAGAACAGCCTGGCGCAAGGCATGTTCCTTGCGGGAGGCCGGGGCGCGTACGCCGGGGCCCCTCTGCAGGGGCCCCTGGCTTATCTGGAGAAGACCGCTACCAATATAGGTGAGTAATGTTATTAATACGATATTATGGGACTCCTAAGGGTCACCCAAAGAATCCATTCCTTTATTACGCGTAAAATTAAACTACTTTTGCTAGTTTTGATTTTTCGACCCACATTTCAATAACTTAACTAGTTTGTTGGTGGTCTCCCTCCCAACTAGGGTTGCCAGGTCCTTACAACAAAAGCCGGGCTCGGTTCCTAATTTGGCTGGAAATCAGGCCTCCGAATCGGACCTAGTGACTCCCGGGAAGCCAATGGATGGAGTCAGCAGGACCAGTCGTTCTGGAAATCCTTTGTCCAGCAGTGAACCTTTTTTGATTGAAACAAACTACGAAAGTTTTAAAAAGTAATAAATAGGAGCAATTGATTTCTTACTGTGTTAATTTCCAGACATGGTGGGCTTGGGGGATGGACGCAGGTGACGCGGTCGCGGGAGGGGCAGGGGCAGGGGCCGCGGCAGAGGCCGAGGTGAGTGCTTATGTTAATATAATCCAAACACAAGTATCGGAAGTCGGAACACATAACTCCAGACAGGGATCTACGATCTTTTTTAACCGGGCAAAATTTTATTATGGCGTCATCTCACAGCGTTTAAGATGCCTAAGTCGTCGCTTTTTCACAAAGCTGTCCGTTCTTTCCATTTGGCGCCCCGCTTAGGCTGCCGCCCGGAGCAGGCAGGCGCCCCGGTTTGCGCCCCTAGATCCGTACCTGTATAAGTGCATAACTTATGGAACTAATGACCGTTAAGTTTTTTTTATATAAGAGGCCTTTGTCTAACTGTGAATGTCTTTTGATTGAATGATGATGACATTTTAGAATGTGAGGCGATATCGATAATGTGTATATTGATTCCTTTCGCTGTTATAGAATAGATCTCTCAAATCTCAACGATGTCGACAAAAACTTTTAAGATTGTGCATGTTTTTGACTAATTGGCTTATATTTCCAGGTCGTGGTACTTCCCCTGAGTACGGCGGGAGCATGACGCCCCCATAGCCCGACTCCCTCCCCGCGTGGCCAGCAAACCCCAGCCCACTCGGGGAATTCGAATTTGATGGTAGCTTTTGGTAGAGAGGTGCCGTGTCGATACCTAGTGCCTTTTACCTTTGATGTGGATTTCGGACCGCGTGTGGATCTCATGCATTTCATTATTTTATTTCGTGTCGAAATCCGCATTACAGGAAAAAGGCAATATTACCTACTATCGATAGTTGACCAACTCAGATTAACGCAGATTACAGACTTTTACTTAAATGACCGATAAAATTTGGTATCAGCCGATTCCTCATACAAATTGGTAGCCGACCAACTAAAAGTGTGTTGTCTGCGTAGCTATTGTCTAACGCTACAAAAAGTTTTGTTACTATCGATAGTAAAGGCGATACACATGCCAGTAACTAAAGCCCGGTCTGCGCGCACGCAGAATTTTGCCCAATGACCCCAAGCTCCAAGATCCATATCGCTCGCGCGTAATTATGTTGCTGTCGAGACTGTACGACGGGCGCCCGCAGTGAGTGTGCGAGCGCGACAGCAACATAATTACGCGCGAGCGATAAGGATGGGTAGCTTGGGGTCATTGGACAAAATTCTACGTGCTCACAGACCGGGCTTTATCGATAGTAAAGGCGATACATGTCAGTAACTAGTACCAGCTCCCAGGGCCGTATTTAACCTACCGGGGGCCTTGGGCACATAAGGATCAAGGAAGCCCATTTAAACAAAGGAATATTTAAAACTATAGAACTTTTAACCTTATTATGTTTTACCCTATTACTTGCAAGCAACTCTAACTATTTTATAGGCTTATGTATCGTCGCCATAAGGTATCGAACGGCATCTCTAGTAGAAAAAATACATAATACCGTGTGCTATTGTGAAGAGAGAATTAATGTTACCCTTTGCCATAGTGAAAGTAGATGTCGTATTATTTTGGTTTATTCCCGTTGTCCCCACTAGGCTTGTCCCCACTGGTGGGGATTCAATTAAATAATTCAAATGTATTATTTTTTATTCTCGTTATCTTTTTGAAAGAATTTCATTACAAAAGGACATCTTTTAATAAAATTTTTCACTTGAGAATGACAAAAAATATTAAATGGGTTGCCCTTTGAAGAGGCTCTTTACATGTCTCAATCTCGTTTACATTTTGAAAATTAATTATTTCTTTACAACATTTCAGACCTATATTTTGAATACACAAAATTAAATTATACAGTGTGTCCGGGCATGTAGTGATCAAACTTTAAGGGCGTAATCTATGGACAATTTTATCGATGAAAATACTTCAAATTTGGGGCCTGACCAATTTCTCGAAAAATTACAACGATTTAAGTTTTTAATTTTTAGTTTACACCTCTTCTTTAAAAAACAAGTGAAAGCGTGGGTAGCTTAACATTAATAGGCAAATATTTCATGCGATAGCCAATAAAATTATCTATTAGTAGAAGAAGAAAGCAGACACAAGTTTCATACATTTTATGGGAGTAAGAATGNCCTGGTTAGTTCGAAATACATAAAATTACTTTATACATAATTGCTAAGCATAATAAATTTCAAAGCTTGGGCAACTGAATGCAGCGTTTACAAAATAACATAAAAGTAGTTTCCTTGGGTTACCTAACGTCGATAGTGTTTTACTTGGTCACTTCCTCCATATTTCTATCACAGTGCAATGATGCTTCTAACTTAGGCAGAGCGAAGAGCCAAGCTTAAGGAAATTCATTCATGCATTTAAAAAATTACCTACTTCAATCAGAAAACGTTTAGGTAGGTACTTGTATTTATTGTAAACCACTGATAATAAAATAGAGGCCTCGCATCTATTTTGAATATTTAATCACGAAAATGATTTAGGTTCTTGTGTGGAATTTTAAAAAAAGGAGTTAATAATCCCATTAGCCCCTCGTACTTATCTAAATACGCTTGTGTTACGAAGTTAATCTCAAGAATTCATGAAATGTACAAAAACTTATCCATTTTTAACCAGTTATGCGATTTTCACAATTTTCAGACTTATAGAACAACTTCGGTGTTAAATAGTAAGATTTTATGTAGCAAATACAAACTTGGCCTTTATTTCACCCATGTGTCGTACCTTTCCATGCCCCAGTTTCCACGGAGTGACTGATACCTATGGCTGTGGGACTATAAACATGACAACACAAAATTTGTGATGTTGAATAACTAGATTGTTTCATAAACTGTTTGTTTACGGCTGTTTAGTATAACTGTCGAGTAACCTTGTTTTTTTAATTTTTATTGAGAGACTTTACGAGTGTTGAGACAGTGACATGGAAACTCGTTTGACATCTGATTTCGATATCTCAATTAAATAGTGACAACAACGATAACACGAATACACTTTCCGATAGGTATGAGTATGGTTTGTTACAAGAATTGTATTCTTTCATTTTTTTCACACACACGAAAACTGGTGAAGGTTGCGGGAAGCTAGATGCGGGCAGCACAGGATCAGTAGTTGGGTATTTCTCATCAAATTGCNAAAAGTAAATAAGCAAACATATTTCAAAACTGTTTTCATCAATTTTTCAATCGCATACGTTTACTTTTGTAAATAGGCTATAAAAAGTAAAATTAAAATAGCAAAGCCAATGCAGATAGATTTTCCCCGCCGAAAAACCAGCGCGGCACGTAATCCTAAAATCGCGTTCTCATTCGTGCTCATCTGTAATCTGGGCTCCTATTAGAGCCTTTGTCTAGTCTCGCAAATTACGGCAGACCTAGGTCGCAATACCTTTCATTCCTGACGCCGGTCGCTGGAATATAGGCGGAATATTTAGTGTCCAAATTGAGATTTATCGGCGACATGAGGGTTAAGTTGACTTTTATTTTTTGGGACTTTGTGGGAAAACGGTTAAAGTTGGAATTTCGTGGTCTTTTGTAAAGCTATTCGAGTATTTTTTGTGTAGGCGTTACCTATTGTAATAGGGTTTGATATTTAAATGGTAAATATACTAGAGTACCTGCAGGGCAAGATATTTACTGATAAAGTAATGGGGACAATGAAATGATTATAAAAATAATATGATACTACTTATTAAACTA